CGGGAACTGTCGTTTTTTTTTTTTCTTCCTAGCTCTTCGTCAAGGCCGAGTTCACAACGACAGCTTAAGCACCATCGGTCTACCTCGTCTTCCAGCTCTCAACTTTTTGCCGCATCCCAATGGTTTGGAAAGCACACGGCGCCGGCCAACCTTAGTGGCCAACGCCATCGCGCGGTTCAAATTAAGGACTAATATAGCCCTCACCAGCGCCCATTAGCAAGGGGCGAGGTTTTTGGAAGCCAACGTTCTATTTCTTGGGTTCTAGGCTGCAGCCGCTGCTTGCCGAGCCGTAGACTCATATCCTCTGAGCAGCCTACTTATCTTGTCAGGAGTTAGCGCCTAGTATCCGACACTAAAGCACCCTGAAGAACACGGCATGTTCAACGTATCCCTCAGAAACCCTGAAGCACTCGTTTCCGGGACGGCGGTCTTCAGTTACGTTGCTTTTCCTCTTTGGGATGCGCAAGATCCTACAGCCATTTGCTTCTGCTATGTCTAGGGCTCGGAAAGGTCTCTTATCTTGACTAATCGGAGCTATAGACATCGGGAATGTGATCCTTCCGTTTGAGCTCGGCTTCCAGGTGGAAAACAGTAATCGTTTGCCGCAGGAAACAACGTTAGCCCAAACCATAGTCTCTTTACTTCCATATCGTTTGGTCGGGGCCCTGCACCTCTGGAGGGGACGCTCCGGCTTTCACGGGTCTTGAAGCAAAGACCAAGACTTTGGCAGCAGTGAAGGGCTCAATGCTAGATACCATATGGGTAAGCAGCCTGACAGCCGCCTTGGCAAATAGGCGGGCTTACTCCACTCCGAGTCACTATCGTCAGAGGCACAGACTGGTAAGCTGGCGCGTACACTCAACCATTGCTCATGGGCTGCTGGTTTGTGCACATTTATGTGACTGCCGAGGGCACGCAGACCACAGACAGCCTGCCGTCTAGCGATTCTCAATCTGGCCCATCCCGTTCACACACCCCTTCTCCTTGCGAATGGCGCCCCCTAGTGGCCGCTCATCTCATCTCCACATTCCCAATCTCTCGGAGATGGCTTTCCAACTTCATTGGGCTGAATTCACAGCCACGTCCATAGATGAGGATTTCGCACGCTGCGCAAGCCTCTCGGCATCCACGTCGTCGCGCAGAAACCTCTTGGCCATGCAGCCTCTTGCCAACTGACTAGATCGGTGTCGTTCTTGGCTCTCAGCACGTGAGGTTCTGGTGATACCAAGCTTTGTGGCAGGTGCACCACCACCGCCCAGAAAGCAGACACTGGCTTTTCAGCCGACGAGAATATTTACGTCAGATTTTACAATACAGGGCTTAGGCTGGTGTGCATGTCACCCGCCACGGTGAGGGGAGCTGTGTGCAGCTTGGCAGCGCGTCGAGCTTAAAGGGTGCGCCGCCCGCCGGCCCGTGGTTGGGTGATCAACTGGTGTCACCTCGGAGAAGAGTCCAGCTGAGTCAATGAACTGCGCCTTGTCTTATGTTGAAGTTCCGAGAGTCAATATCGAATCAATTATGCGCTCACAGGGTTCGTTGGCCCGCGGTGATTGTGCGACAAGGGAAGTCAAATGGACGACATCCTTGCGACGACTGGCTCTAGGTCGTTGTATCTTCAAACGGGCAGGAATGATGATCGGAAAGGAGGCAGCACCGGATAGAGCGGTCACTACAGAGAAGCAGATGGCGTTCGCATCACTTCGACCCTAGACGTACGATGTCACATTTCCATTCAGACCTCGATATTTCTGGCTCGGATGTGCTATCAGGCTTGAATCACGATCGGCTCGTAACGCACGCAGGTCACCGAACCCTTGAGCTCTGACCTTATGCTTTCTTGCACCCACTGAAGAGAAACAAAGTACCGGAAATGGATTCCTCTCAATAGCTTCAGGAAGATCATAAGGCTATGAGATCTGAGCTTTGGTGACTGACGTCTGCCCATACCCCTTGCGTCTGCTGTACGCAAGGGATGAGATGGCGAGGCTCTGAACGTCGTGAGACAACGCCCGTGAGCCGTTGATCCCTGCGTCGGTTTAACGGTATGGATCAGATAGCGGGAGAGATCTCAATGTTAACTTCAACTTGCTTTTGCGCGATTTTTGTGAGGAGAAGAGGGTGGTAGTCGTTTCTCTCCGTTGTAGGATGTCCTCCAGATCACCAGGGAGTTCAGAATGAATACGACCGATGACCACGTCAAGGTGAATGATTGGTCGGCAATTTACGTATGCGGGAAATCGCCTTGCTCCTTCCTAGAAGTACGCCTCTCGCATGGTTGATATAAGTCGAGATCTGAGAAAACGTCTCCGGTTACGTTACCTCACTCAAAGATCATGATCTAAGTCAAGAGGAGAAACCTGGGTTCCCACTCGGGAAATTCGCATGTGAAAGAAATTCGTCAATATGATGATTTTAAGTCTTGAAACGTTCCCCTCGCGTAGCTCTGTCGTCGGTTGAGGATTACTTAGCACACGACATATCCCCAGTGTGGAAACCGGACACAGAACCACCGTCCTTACTTGAGTTTGCCTGGGCACCAAGCGCACTTGGCCTAGAATATCGCGTGAAGAGGAATAAAGATCCCGAAACCGGCCAATTGGCGTATCAAATTCTTTCCACGAGTAGTGAGTTATAATTTAAGTAGTAACGGTTTGTCGTTCTTCAATACCTACCCACACTCTCCATCTCAGTACGATTGCCAACTCCTCGGTCTCTGTGGTGCATAAAAGACGGTTTTTGTGCCTGAGCCAGCTTGTGAGGCATTTGATTGCGTCTTCCTCTGTGACTTCTGATTTGCGGGGGGGAAGCCAAGAGTTGCGTGATTGTTCGTGAAATGGTAACGCCCCTAAATTGGTGAAGCCTTCTCACCTCCGTTTCGAGTCATAGCCATACTGATTACTCTAAAACTCTGTGGTTCTGGGAACTTATTTTTACTGAATACTATCATAACAATAGAATATCCACCCCTACGAAGCAAAGTCTTGTCACAACGTGTCTTCAAATTACGGGGTCCAAACCATGAGAAATATCTTTGATTTCAACAGACGAGCGTTGCCGCCACTGCGTGACCAATTACCTTTAGCAATGCTAGCTTCCAGTCACTGATGCTGATTTTATATGGTTACACGGAGCAGTATGACGAGCAAGGTTTGGAGTCGTCAGTCTCGAGTCCGATGGGATAAGGGGCTAATCCTTAAGACTGTTTCAAGATAGGACATAGATATAAAAAGGATCATCTGGTCAACCTTTTGCCGGACACCGCAATTCAAGCTACCTTTTCAAAGGCTGAATTTTGTCTTACTTCGTGGAAGTTGAGCTTCACTCGACACGGTCCTCTGCAACTCCCGCGCCTCTGACATATGTTTATGTTGCGGTCAGCAGTTCTCTCGACGAAGAAGCATAAAATTGGTATCATACGTTGGGAATACTACAGGAGGAAAGAAAGTCAATAGGGAATGGAAGCCGGGTTCATCTACTCCTCTTCCCCATAGTGAACAGGCCTGAAAATTTTCTCACAAGTGCAAGCGATAATAACTGAATGAGACATAGGATCAGGATATCGGCTCAAAGTATATTAGCGCTCTGTTGAACTCAGCCTACTGGTGTTACGTTATTTTATACTAAGTGAATGAGCGGGATCTAAACTCCCGAACACAAATTTAGAAGACTAAGCAGCGCCGTCATAGATGTTACTTTTACTTTGAACATGTAGTCACCTGCATATACCAGTTACGAGAAAATGTGGATGAATTAGGTCTGCAGCTAACAGTAGGTTGCACCCTCAGCAAGAACGGCCCCGAAACTGTTCGATTCAATAGTTGCAGCGACGTAGCAACAAGTATTTGTCAGGTCACCTGCGGACGGCGTCTTTTTCAGGCTAAACAACTTATCTAGAATACGTTTAAGAAACACTCTTCTGCAGTCTTCCCATAGTACTTCGCTCCTGCGAAGCAAAAGCCAAAAAAATAAGCAGTCATCTAAGAACTACACCTGACGAAGCAAAAAATTGCGCCGAGGGGGAATCGAACCCCCGGCTCCCCGACGCTGCTGGATGGCAACGGAGAATTTTACCACTAAACCATCGGCGCTTGTGGATAGCATCTACGGACAAATGATTGTTTATGTTGCGCAGTAGAACACCATCTGCATCTCCAGCACTTGACGGAGCTTCAGTTGATGTTTTTGAGATGCACAGGAAGCACAATTGGGCTGGCCACCAAATGACGATGAGCAAAGTTGCGGATGTGAAGCAATTGGCCAATTCTTCTTGCAACATGGACAATGGGAATGCCCTGCATCTGCAAGCCGCAAGCGTAAAGTGACATCCACTGAGGCCAAACTCCCCGACAACCCCACCATCTACAACCGTTCTACAGCGAAACACAGCCCATGCAATAATCTAATGATGCAACGAGTAATCCTCTCAATTTCCCCAATGTGGCTTGGTTCCGCATGACGATATGACTGTATTGCAGCTGTTGAGTCAAATATGGTGTTGAATTGGAATTAGCGTCGAGAAGCGTAGCAGAAACGGCCGAGGGTCCATGCAAGTTCCATGGTGACTCATAGTGACTGGCCTAGGCGTTTACGGCTCCTCCTGCTTGTTTTGTCAGCCTTACAGCGGCCACAGCGAACACTTGCCACACTCCTGCCACCAAAGGAAGCCCGGGGACCAAAATTTTAGCGGAGCCCCACCCAATGAACTGTTATGCGATTAAGTCCGGCCCGTCGACAACCGCCCCCAAAGGGAACTTCGATTCATCTAGAGGCTGCTTCCATAATCTTAAAAGTCGCCTCCCGGGCCCTCAAAGGGAAAGGAAGCCTGGCATCAAAGTCAATTCACCTTCTTTCTTTCCCATTCACTCTTTGTGAGGCTGCCTTTTGTCGCCCAAGCTTTGCCACACATCCTGGCAGCACCCGTACGAAGACGCTGTATTTCAAAAAGCGCAATCACCATTTCATCATCACAGCAAACGTCGACGACAGCAAGCGGAACAGTCATGTCTGAGGGCGGAGGAGCGCAGACTCAGACGCAGACGCAGACTCAAGCGAGTTCGTCAAGCAGGGGAGGAAGGAGAGGCAGGTCCGGACGAGGAAGAGGGGGTCGAGGTCAGGGTGATGGCGGTCGTCGAGGCGGCGGCCGGAATGCCGCTGCCCAGTCGCAACCGCAGAACCAGAATCAAAGCCAGAATCAGGCGGGCCCAGCACCAGCGTCTGAGCCAATTGTGACGGCAGCACCTCGTGAGAGCGCGCCAGATGCGTCAGCTTCTGGGTCAGTAAGGAGAGGGAGAGGCCGTGGTGGTTCTCGAGGTGGCCGAAGAGGTGGCGGTCGTGGCGGCTCCGGAGTTGCGGCGCCCGTCCCTGGAACTCAGCGGACGTTTGGTGGTCGTTTAACGACGAATGCCGGCCCCGACGAAAGTGCGGCAGCTGGTTTGAGTGCAGCTGCTCCAGATTTCGTGCCTGGGCAGCCCGTCCCTCAGAGATCGTGAGTTTGATATTCGCATTCATCATGTTTCTGAGACTAACGTAACGAAAGTGCACCTGCTCCCAAGCAGAAGAAGCCTCAATATCCCCTGGCACCAAAGTCTACAGCAGCAGACCTGCCTACGAGGATCCACGAGGACATTAGCCACGGCCAGTACGAGTGCGTCATTTGTTCTAGCGAAGTGCTGCGGTCATCTCGAGTATGGTCCTGTGGTTTGTGCTGGACTGTGTTGCACTTTTCTTGTGTCAAGAAGTGGTACACGAGCCAGCTCAAAAAGGACGATGACACGCACTCTTGGAGATGCCCAGGTTGCAACTCCAACCTTACCGAGGAGCCCACCTCGTATCACTGCTGGTGTGGCAAAGACATCAACCCGAGAAACGTTCCTGGTCTGCCTCCTCACTCCTGTGGACAAACCTGCTCGAAGCCCAGGTCGACATGTCCACACCCGTGCCCCCTCGAATGCCACGCCGGCCCGTGTCCACCTTGTACGTTGATGGGACCGACTCAGGCATGCTTCTGTGGGAAGCATGAAGTTACGAAGCGATGTACCGAGACAGACTACGGCAATGGATGGAGTTGCAAGGAGATTTGCGGAGACTTGCTACCGTGTGGCGAGCATTTTTGCGCGACACCGTGCCACCCAGGCTTGTGTGGTAGCTGCGAGATCCCAATGCAGGCGAGATGCTACTGTGGAAAGGAGCATAAGGAAATCCCTTGCGATCGACGAGGCGATTTGGAGATGTCCTTCAACTATGGTCAGATTTCTTCTGAGTCGGAGGATTCTTCCGAGGACAGCTGGTTCGACGGCTCATTTGATTGCGGTGCGACTTGCGGGAGAAAGTACGACTGCGGTTTTCATGGGTGTGAAAAGACCTGTCATCCGCAGGATGAAGTTTCGGCTCACTGCCCACTCTCCCCCGACGTCGTGGCGAACTGCCCCTGCGGCAAGACGCCGTTGGAGGAGCTTCTCGACCAGCCGAGACAGTCTTGCCAGGATGAGGTTCCTCACTGCAAGAAGACCTGTGGAAAGACATTGTCTTGCGGCCACCAGTGCGTCGACACCTGCCATATCGGACCTTGCAACCCGTGCTTCCAAAAGATGGAGATAAGCTGTCGATGCGGCCGTACTAGTTGCACTTCGCTCTGCCACCAAGGCGAAATCGCGCCGCCGATGTGCATGAGGGTGTGCCAGGGTCAACTGAATTGCGCCCGGCACAAGTGTGGTGAGCGCTGCTGCCCTGGGGAGAAGAGGGCCATCGAAAGAGCCGCCGCCAGACGAAAACACCGGCCACAAATTGTGGACGAGGTGGAGGCAGAGCACATCTGTGTTCGCGTCTGCGGAAGGACGCTGAAGTGCGGAACCCATGAGTGTTATCAGATTTGCCATTCTGGACCATGCCCGAGCTGCTTGGAGGCTGTTTTCGAGGAAATCAGTTGTGCATGCGGCAGGACTGTCCTCCAGCCACCTCAGCCCTGCGGCACTCCGCCCCCTGAGTGCCGCTTCGACTGTACCAGAGCCCCGCCGTGCGGTCACCCTTCGGTCAAGCACAACTGCCATCCCGACGACGTTCCATGCCCGAAGTGCCCTTTCCTCGTGGAGAAGGCATGTATCTGTGGCAAACAGAGAATGAAGAATAGGCCATGCTGGCTTGAGGAAGCTCGCTGTGGTCTTCCTTGCGGCAAGAAGCTCAAGTGCGGGTAAGTTAAGCACATATCTATCCGATTTGGAAATAAACTGACAAGTCACTAGCACGCACACCTGCAGAAAGGAGTGTCATCGCCCGGGCGAGTGTGAAGATGCCGAAATTCCTGGCTCTCATTGCGCTCAGCCCTGCGGCAAGACACGCAAGTCCTGCGAGCATGCTTGCCAGGACTCGTGTCACGCCCCTTACCGTATGTGATCCCTTCTCAACTTTTTGACTTCTGTCTAACAATCACCAGAATGCAAGGAAGACCGGCCATGCCAAAGCAAGACCTTCATCACCTGCGAATGCCAAAACCGCAAGAAAGAGGTCAAGTGTCTCGCCACGAAGACGAACCCGACTCCCGACCGCGACACCCTCAAGTGCGACGACGAATGCCTCCGCCTCCAACGTAATCAGCGCCTTGCCGCCGCTCTCAATGTCGACCCGGACCACACTGACGACCACATCCCCTACTCCGACACGACCCTCAAGCTCTTCCGCGAGCTCTCCCTTACGTGGGCCCAGAATCAGGAACGCGAGTTCCGCGTTTTCGCCTCTGAGCCCTCCGAGAAGCGTCTCCGCTTCAAACCCATGCCTAAAGCCCAGCGCGCCTTCATACACAACCTCGCCGCGGACTTTGGCTTCGACTCAGAGAGCCAGGATCCGGAACCACACCGCCACGTCTCAGTCTTCAAGACCCCGCGCTTCGTCTCCGCCCCGAAGAAGACGCTTGCTCAGTGCGCCAAGATACGCGCCGACGCCGCCAAACTCACCGCAGCCCCGGCCGCATCCTCCTCTGCGAACGCTTCCGCGGCCCCGGAGCCCTTCAACGCCCTCCTCCTCACTGCACCACGCTTCGGTCTCACGATTGACGAGATCGACTCCGCGCTTGCCACGCACCTGAAGTCCCACAACTCCCTCTCCTTCACAACCTCCTTCCTCCCGTCCGACGAGATCCTAATTCGCGCCGTACCCGTCACCTCCTGGGGCACCAGCCCCTCCGCCGTCGAATCGACCCTCTCTTCTCTCAAGCCCCTCGTCGCCCGCACGGTCACGAAAGAAGGCCTCGCCGCCGCAGCCCTTCTCGTCACCGCCGACGCCAACCTCAACGTCCTCCGCCGCGAGGGCGCCGCGGCCGCAGGTGCCGGGGGCTGGAACGCTGTCGTCGGACGCGCCGCGGCCCAGCGTAGGGTGTTCGGCCCCGCCAAGCCCGAGACGACGCGGCCCAGCAGCGGGTTCGTCAGCTTCTCCAAACTTGCGAGGAAGAAGGTCGTCGAGGACTCCGTGGCAGACGATTGGGAGGCTGCTGCGGATGACGAGTGAGGCGGTTTGCAGGGATTAGGACGGGGAACCAGAAGCGACGGTGTTCGGCCAAGGAAGTTATCATTTTGAGATCGTTGGACAAGGAAGGTGCTTGGTGTTTTATCGCCTTGGTTTCCCGCCTCGCTAACATGCATATAACTCCACGATGACGGAGAGATAAGCTTTAGACTTGTCACTGGAGATGCTTAGATAGATGCCTTACGAAGGGCAATATGCTTTGACGAGCAACTACCCATCCAAAGGGAACAGGTTCAGAATATTGAAATAGACATTACACAAAAGAAGACAAGACAAAGAAAGAAAAAAAAAGTTTAACTTATGCAAAACCATCTCTTAATCGTTGATGTATGCTATGTCATTCCCGTCTGACACATGTCATATACGTATGTATCACATCGACCGCTCAACGCAACGCAAAGCAAAGCAAAGTCGCATCGTCGTCATCGTCATGAAGCCCCAGACCCCGCGATATCGCGCAATCTGCATCGAGGGATGCCACGTCAGAATACGATCACGGGATTCCGAGCTACGAACCCTGTCCTCTCCCACTGGCCATGGAATCCTCGTTGGACGGGATGCAGGGTTCGTCCCAGTCGTGGTATCGTGAACACCCATCTATCCACCGATGACATGCCTCGCACGCTGTCCAGACCGTTTCTCTACAACCTGCATGCATTGTCGAAGAGAAGAAAAACGGTTTGCACAGCTTATAGACAGGCATTACGACCTCCGATGGACTCAGCCGCGGTCTGTGGTTGAGTGGTCCACGCGGCCTGGCCTGGCTTTCCCTGTCCCTTGAACCACCGTGCACCCGAGCCGTGGGTGTAGAACCATCACATCTCACCTGACGACTACGCAGTACAGCAGATGTGAATACCAAAATCGTTGCTTCATTAATTATATGCTACTTCTACTGCGTAGGAAGTTGAACGTAGCACCCCGGCCCGTTCTGTGGGCGCCGGGTGGGGGTATCATTCTAGGGACCACCGAGATGGTTATTAGGTGGTAGGAGACGCCGCCGCCACGAGCCTCCATGAAAGTGTCTTCCGCTTCTTGTCGTCTCGCGCAGGCAGTCTTGATCCATCTCAGAAACTCAAGAGGTCGCCTTCGCGCGCATGCCCGTACCGACTTTGCCTGCGACAGCAGAAAGTCTCTGAAAAAACAGAGAAGAGAGATTCCCGGTCCGACCCCTTCGCCAGGATCTCGGCTACATGCCTGTTGAACCGTTCCTCGTCCTCAAAGTGCTTTCTCTACAAGCGCTGCTTCTCTTCCTTGCTAGCCCCGCCGGTTACATTCGCCAAGAAGTCGGCTATCGCTTCAAAGTAACCCTCCTCGAGGACACTAGAGTTGTGGTCGCCCGCTGGCAGGGGTTTCCAGATTTTGGAGGGTGCCTGGGACAGCTCGTAAAGCTGGCGCATGTGACGAGGTCTGAGACATGTGTTAGTTAGTCTTAAGAGCGGTGACATCCAAGACAACACAAAAAACAGGTTGGATAAGCGGTATCAGACTCTCGTCGTAGGGTAAAATCAAGCGTTCCGAAGGACTCATATTTTGTGGGTGGTGACTTCAGATCATCATATCCGCTGGGGGAAAACATGTAGCAAAAACGGAAGTAGACTTACGGTACGATCTCGTCCTGCAGGCCAGAGAGGAAAAGCATGGGCACCGAGGTGATGTTGGGAATCACCGACTCGCTCGGCCATACTTGGTGACACAAGAGGGTCAAGTACTTGGCCGGAGGAAGAACGGATGGGATAAGCTTGCGCATGGAGAGGAAGGTGTTCTCCAAGATCAAACCCGCAATATCGCCATCTTTTTGGTTCTTGGCGACAAGCTTGATGGCGACGGCCCCGCCCAAGCTCTGGCCGTAGACAACCAGCTTATGGCTGCTCGTCTCTGCGCGGGCGCGGAGATAGTCAAGCGCGGTTTGCGCGTCGAGAAAAAGGCCGGACTCGTCAGGCTCGCCGGTGGAGAGGCCGTAGCCGCGGTACTCGAGCATGAAAACATTGCAGCCGATAAAGTTAATAAGCATGCGGGCAATGGGCAGGCGGTGACCGATATTGCCGGCGTTGCCGTGGAACATCAGGACGGTGACATTCGAGTTGTTGCCGCCGCGAGGGCCGCGAATGTAAAAGGCCGAGAGCTTTTCGCCATCGTTTGTCGGGATGACCAGCTCTTCAAAATCTTTAATTCCGTATTGTGAAGGTCGTGGGACTTCGGTGCGGGAATTCGGGGGCATGTGCGAAGGGTAAATCAAAGCCCTGGAGCCACACGCGGTCTCGTTAGCTTGCTTTCGTTGTGGGGTCGCATCGGGAAGAGGTGGCGTCACATGGACACACACGCGAACCGCTTGGGTTGGGGGCGAAGGGAACACTTACTTCTGCTTGAAGTAGAGGAGGGTCGTCAAGACTGCTGCGATACCCTGCGAGGCAAAAGAGACTGATTAGCTTTGGGGACTAGCATAGCGGTAGAGGCACCATCTCGGGATGAGGGCCCAAGAGGAGGGGTAGCAGACAGGAAGGTTGAAGGCTCGGTGAGAAAAGATGGGCAGTCCGTAGGACGAGGAGGCGGGAATGGCCATACCGTCGAGGCTATGGCTGGTAGCCGCATGTACGCGCCAACAGTACTGAGCATAGAGACACCCTGCTCAAGATAACTGTTGGAGGACGACGACGCTGAATTGGAGGAAGACATCTCGGAAGAGTCTCTCTTTTTCCTGGCGGGAGGAAAGGCGGAGGAAAGATTATATTTCCTCAATGCTGGACCAGTCGGCGAGCCCTCAATAGGATTAGGAAGGGACCTGACCAGAATTGATGGGGAAGGTAAGGCCCGAAGCGAGGAGGCAGAGTCCAGGAGAGAGCGGAGCCTCGCGGAGGCGGTGGAGGCCGACGCTAGCGGGCAGCAGGTACAGCCCACGCGGAGATTGGCGGGAGAGGTGACGAGTTGGATGTTAGAGCGCAAGTCGGTATGAGGCGATTGGAGACGCGAGCCAGGTCCAGGTCAACTGCGGTGGGCAGCCAACCGCAGCGCAGGCTCGCAACAGGACGAACAGACAGGGTCGCGCACGGAGCGGAGTGCTAAGCCTGGTGATTGACCGTCGACCCTGGAACCGGAAAGGCTGGCAGCGTTCCCTGATCGGAACGAAACCGAAGATCGGAGAGCGGTGTCAGTTTGTTGAGGAGCCAAAGCTCACTGGCACTGGGCCTCTCTTTTTTGTTCTTGAGTCGCGGGTATTCCGTGTTTCGGGTTGCGAGCAGCAACGACGGCTGGCATTGAAGGCGCGGGAGGACACGGGCGACGGGAGATAGTGGTGTGGTTTTCTTTAGCAGGGCCGCATGATGCAGGTCAGGAGGGAAACCGTGTGAGGCGGGATCTCACAGCCGTGCCGCCGGCCGGGAGGTTTGGGGTGCAGCGATGGCTGTCGGGGGTTGCAGCGTTCAGCGCAGTGGGTGTCCTGGGCGGCCTTTTTCAATGTGCATCGAAATTCGAATCGGTGGATGAGGTCGGGGGCCAGCAACGAGGCGGGTCTGGGAGGCTTGTCGATGCGGCAGGTGACCTGATTTGGGGGTTGCCGGCAGGTTCTTTTCGGAGGTGCAGGGCTGCCAAGGCTCGTTGGACGGGCCTCGGAGGCGGAGGCAATCAATTTGAGAGAGTGCGCGAGCAAAGAGTCGAGTTGCGAGATGCGATGATACGATGTGATCGGTAATGATGATGGGGAGGGGGATGTTGGAGGCGAGATGTCCTGCGAACTAGTTTCCGAAATACGACAACCAGCATGAAGCGAGGGGATATCATGAAAAAGTCAAAGGAGGCACTAGACGGTGTTTAAGGTGTTGGTTGGCTGACATTGTCCCGCTGCGACGCGGACAGACGCGTTGATAGTCTTGTGTGGTTTCATTGCGTTTGTTGCTAAACGCGCCTAGCATGAAGCAATAAACAGCCATCGCATTGCCGGCGGTCCATCCTTGATATTGGAGATGGAATGCTTGCTGAGCTTAGCTTGCGTACTAAACGAGCCCGGGATGACCGCTTTGCCATGCTGAAGACATGAGCCTTTTTGCAGCCCTTCAACGACATAGAGACTCTATCGCGAAGAAGCAACTTGGCATGAATCACTTATATCTTGCGGCAATTCCGTGAATTTATTCACTGTTCCTATTCGAGCACGTCGACGATTCATCGCATGTAAGCTTTGGTGGTCGCGGCAAGTCAGCATACACACCAAATGCTACACGAGACAGTGACAGAAGTCTGCTTGATGGAGGGACGGATCATGATCGCCGGAGCTCCCTCGAACTCAGGGGAACGCATCCAAAGCCGCACCATCCATCAACTTGTGTCCGCCGTCTTGTTGCTTCAATAGGAGGATCTGCCACTGAAACTAGACGTGGAAGACGGCGTGTGACAGGGAAGGAAAGGGCAAGGCGTGACCTGGTGGGGGATTCTTGCCTCTCAAAATGCAATCTCGGGCCCCCAAGTGCGCCGTGGGCTGACATAGCGGGTTACGGTGATTGGCAGAGGCCGACAATAGGGGCGGGCAGCTTGGGCGATTTGGACGCTGAAGCTGGAGCTCTGAATGACGGCAGACGCGGAAGCGCATCGGACGGATTATCGGGAGCTTCCACCTTACCTAAGCTGGTCCTGAGCCGGGCTAACTTTAAGGTCACCTTTGCACAACCGCGGTGCGCCATCCTTCCACCACGGCGGGGAGCTCATTCGAATGGTCCCCGAAGCTCTCCTGTCGCTGCTCGCTGCGGCGCACTTCCACCGGTTGGATCTAGCTATCCAGGGCAAGACACCTGAACCATCTCAATCTCAACCGCGGAGATCAATGGCGCTGTCTTGGCTGGAATGAGGTGCGACTGGCGCCGAGCTTGGGGCTTGATACTCCATCCTTGCGGGCTGGCTTGCGTGAACAATGTGGCTCAGTACTAACGAATTACAAGTAACAACGGCGTCGTCAATCATTGAAACTCCTCGGGTTCAGATGAGATGATCTC